CACAATGTTATTTTCAATTTGTTTGTATTAGCCCTGAAAAGCCTCATTAGGGGAGTGGTCATTTAAGATTATCATTATAACACAAATAATCTATCCTTTTTTACCACTTTTTCCACCCGTTTACTATCCCACCTATGTAGGTGGAAAATAAGCCGACATTTCCCAAACTCTCCTCTCCCCACTCCTTGATCAAGTAACGGTATGATGTAGTGGTGTTAGGTTCCAGTTATGGAGGTTCCATCGCTGCAAGCGGCTGCGCACGAGCAGGGCAGTTGGTATGCGTACTGGAACGAGGCAAGGAGTGGTTACCGGGTGACTTCCCCGAGAGATCAAGAGACTCGACGCAGCTTGCGCAGATAAATGTTGGGGGCAAGGGAAGAAGAATTGGTATGCATTACAATCAATGGTACACATAAATGACAACTAACATCTCCTTGCTGTGAAACAAATAACACCAAACTGATGAATATTTAAGAGTGATAGAACATCTGAAATGTTTAGATTTACAAGTGGTGAAATGCAAACGGTTATCCAGGAAAATAGCCGCTCTTTCAGACTTTTTTGACATACTGAGTCTTCTCATACGACGAGAATTGAGAGTGTCTCACTGAAAAGGATCTTGATATTTGATTGAGCCCTAGAAATTAAACAAGGTTTTTTAAGAATATTTTCCTACCAAGGCATTCAACAGCTTCTCGTAGTAGCTTTCAGCGGCACAGGTTACACCGTTCATAGTGCTAATATATTTCAGATCCTTTGGGAAATTCCATACCTCACTTTCGAGAGAATTCTGTGATAAATTTATGGTTTCTTTCTACGTTCAAGATAGCTTACGATTTGTACGAGTTTATTGTTACTGATGACCTAACACTCATTCAGGGGTGGGGTGTTGGTGGAAGATCTCTCAGTAATGCCAGTGTGGGACTGGATGCAGAGTCTGGTGTGTTTCAGGATCCATTATGGCCACAAGCACTCAGAGATGACTTGGAGCAGCTGTTGAAAGTAGATCGAAAACATTTTGTTGATATGATAAAACCTGCACAATATCCTGATAACTACCCAACACTAGATAAAATTGACCCCATGAAAGAAGGGCTCAGTGATTTTGACATCGAGGACTTGGATAAGATGTTTTACAAGACACCAATCTATGTAAATTTTGAGGACACGGAGCGCAATCACGTTGGCATCCCCCAGCCTAAGTGCACAGCATGTGGGAATTGCATGGCAGACTGCAACGTTGGTGCAAAGAACACACTGAATTTGAATTACCTGCCGGATGCAAAGGCTCATGGAGCAGAGTTATTTGTTGAGGTATTAACTCTTAGAACATACTATGCTAGCCTGTGACAGCTGGTATCCCTTAATCTAGATAAAAAAAACCTTTCTTTATTTCATTGAAATATTTTCGCAAAATAGATAGCAATTGCTCCTCCCTTTCATATGATGTGGTGAATTTGTACATTATTTTGTAGGTAGAAGTGGTATCTCACAAAGTCTCAGAATTCCACGGATTGGATTGTCAGTTATCAAAGAAATGTCTATGAAAAATCCGATGTCCGTGAAGTGTCTGCAGCTAACGTTAATCTTGGCGCAGGGGCGTTAGGGTCTACAAGAATTCTTTAGCGCTCCAAGGAACGAGGCTTCAATGTGTCTGATGAGCTCGGAAAACGGTTTTCCACCAACGGGGATGCAGTTGGATTTAGTTATAACGGCGATGAAGAAGTAAACTCTCTCGGAATACGAACTGAGGAATTAGCGTCTTCCAAACCCCCAGGACAAGCGGTTACATCGATAATGGACTTTAGAACGCTGCACAAGGGTAATTTTGAAAACAACATGTGGTCGAGGATGGAACTTTTCCGTCTATAACCGCTAACATTTTCGCAGTTGCTATTAGCTTCGCTGCAAAAGTAATTGGGATGAATAAGTACCCCACGAATGAAATGCTTGAGAAAACATTTCAGGTAACATTTAGGTTATAGAGAAAACATTAAACTATTTTGTCTCTGGTGCGAAAAAGGACTTCCGCTTTTTTTTCCTTAAGGAAGTTACTCCAACATTACTTTCAGTTTCAATGTAGGGATTATATTTCTCGTTGGTTGTCGTGGAAACGAGTATCCTCTTCCATTTTTGCCCAAGTAAACATGATCAATTTCTTTCATTTGGCTTTTTTTTCACACAATCGATACCGGATTGGGGAAAAAGCGTACGTAATTTTTTTTTCTACTAACTAATTCTAATTTGTGTTTAGCATCTAAATATGGTTATCCTTTGACCTATTGAAGCATTCATTAACAGGGAGAAGAGTAAATCGGAAAACGTCAACACTATATACAGAGTAATTAGACTAAAAACTAAAAATTTGTGTCTAGACCTTGTCGCATATATTCTTCTTTTGATAGTTTTTCGCCACTCACTAATCTGTGTACAACACCTGAAAAAGGCTCCTATTTGATCTATTGATTGACAGGGAGAAAAGTAAATCGGAAAAGGTCAACACTAGATGAATACAGAATAATTAAACTGGAAACTATCAAAATTTGTCTAGATTTTGTCGTATTTAAGATAACTTCAAAGCATCACATCTCTTCTTTTGTCGGCAGTTAATCCAGGGCAAAGGAATTGACCATACTCTTACTCCTCTCTGCATGAGTCATGACAGTGCATCTGGAGTCATTTCTTTTGACAACAAAATCGACGACATTGATATAATATGGGACAGACCTGGATATGAGAGAAACTTCGAGATCATTGACCAAGTGCTGGAACGCGTTGTGCATGGTCTGGGTGGAACGTATGTTAGGAATCCAATCTGGTCGGAAACATTCGGGCGGGGTGTGGTCTCTGTTCATCCTCTTGGTGGTTGTCCTATGGAGGAATCTGGTGGAACAGCTGTTGTGAATCATGCTGGGTAAGTGTTTGAAGGTAGAGTTGTTCGACTTTGATCCACTTTATACGTAATTTACACCGGTTTTGTTAAATGCGGCACTTGTGAAACTTGCAACTTGAAACTTGCAAAAAGTTAACACGGCTTAAAAAAGGCATGGCCATGCATGAGTAATGAGACACAATGGCTTAATGGAACATTTTCGTACAGTCACATGATCAATGCTCTTTTCCATCATTCATGGTAAATCTTTATTTATGACGATTCTTTTCTTCCAAGAAATCGTGGAGGGCTTTTATCAGTTACTGCATGCAACCAGCTGTGGTATTATGTACATGGGTATCCGTAAGTTGTCATCGTTTCTGCTATCGAAATAATGCATTACTTGTAAATGACAAACTTTCTGGTTTGATACATGGCCTTTGCGTTAAGCGGTGCTACAAGGCACAAAAAATCAGTGAGTTTATGAACATCATGTCATGGCTTACTGAAAGAATATAATTATGGAGTCGTGTATTATTTTACAGGTAACACAGATAAGCTGGTTGATGGACTTTATGTCGTCGATAGTTCAATTATTCCACGATCCGTTAGAGTAAATCCTTCTCTTACCATTTCATGTGTCGCCGAGCTTTGTCTGCGACTTTTGGCAAGAAAGAAGGGGTGGAGTATCGACTACGACACATTTAAGCTACTAGGTTAGTTATTCTGCGGTAAATATGAACTGTAGCCGTTGCAGTGACAAGTTTGGTAGCAGCAGTATCAGTGGTTGCAAACAGCAGGGTTGGCAGTAATAGTAAGAAGGAACCTGGGGCCCGTTTCTCGAAAGTCCCGGTAACTAAACAGGCCCGAAGCCATGTTTTAAAATCAAAATGTAACGGGTAAGAAAGCAGTTTGAATGCCACGAACGGTGGTGATCGCAAATACTCATATAATTAGTTCAGCGCCTCTAGGATAATACGGAAACCAGTAGAGGGAAATACAGGATAGTCTGGTGGTAACACAATCGTCTTGATTTGATCGCTCTCATAGTTGAACCTCATAGATATCAGCGACACAAAGGGATCATCCTAGTTTTACTAAACACGTGAAAATTTGGAACATGAAGCAACTGTTTTACGACCAACGGTTAAAATTTGTCAATTTTTACGCCTTGCGACAAAATTTGTGGCTCAGTGTTTTACGACTAACTGTTAACCTCAAAGAGGCCCTCCTATATGACTGTTATTCTAGCTAAGTC